AAAGAAAAGTATTGGATGTAAATACTTCCTAAAAAAAAATTATTCCATTTGAATATTCGACATTCAGAGTATTTGCCAATATCTGTCCACATCCTCAAGTTCCCCTTACATCCCTTCCTCCAACTCTCTCCCAACACATCCTATCCTCTCTTCCATGCACACCATTCCCTCTTTGTTTCCCATTATCCTTACCAACTGGATGCTCACAGAAATCCCTTCTGTTGCAACATTGTCCTTCTTCGTATCCCTCCCCTCCTGACATCCTTCCTGATATTTCACCACCTTCCCAAGTCCCCATATCCTATTTCCTGGATTATTCTCTTCCTAGTTCTCCAACAGCCATCTCTACCCATATAACCTATTAATTGTTCCATAATGGCTCTTTTGCCAGTTTTCCTTAAACAATGTTCCTCTTCCTTCCACAGCCACAGATACTCTCCATTTCATCCAATCGCCCAATGCCCTTAATCCTTTCCTCTTTTACTAATCTCTGCTTTACTTAATTTGCCTCCTCCTTTCCCTATGTCACAACTATACTATCCTATAATGCTCTATGACTTTTGACATATAACATTGTATTCTAATTGTTAATCCATTTTTACCCTTCTTGTCATAATACTTTTCCATAACCATTAACCAAAATTATTTGCATTGTAAAAAATTACTGCTTTATGTAAATCAACACCCCAATCCCTTGCCTGTTCTTAGCTGGGGGCTTAGCTAATGGAGCCTGGGACCCAGTGTTGAGGATCACCCCTATTTTTGGCCTCAAACTTCAACTCCACTAATTTTGTATGGTCTTTTCTTCTTCCCTTTCCATTTCCTTCTCATCTGCAACCCTTTCAACTATCCACTTCATAAGGTGTGAGAGTCATGTTGAAAGGATGAAAGGCTAACATTGTGCCAGTCATGGGCAAGGTATACCTGTTAAGTAGTATAGTTGTCTAGAGAAACAGTCCACTCCTCAGGGTCGCCCTGAGAGCTGGACTATTTCTCTCCCCAATATACTCTAGGCTTACCATGGCCAGTAATGAAGATTTTGTACCTCTATTAAGGGTAATTGGGCTTGTCCCTTTATCAGCTAGCCCCACTGACTAATTCTCCTGGTTCCCCAACCCCAGGCTCTCCTTTGACCCAGGTTATTACTCAACCTCCAGGAAACATTACTCCTTCAGTTTCCTCTATTTCTTCTCAACCCCCACATCTTTCTTAATCTACTACCCCCTCATCTCGTATCACTACTCTGCAGCCATATTGTCCATCTCTTCACAGTAGTACCCCTCTCAGTATTACTCCCACATCCCCGTCCCTCTACTACCCCCACCTCTACAAACATTTTCCATACACTCTTTAGCCCAACTAAATGGGATCGATTTTTCATGATCCCCTCTACAGCAATGCTTTCAAAAACAAATAGACAAAGTTTCCTTCCACAGCTGTCCTGGCCATTCAAGCCTTATCAGTTACATCTCAATCCCAAGCTACAGCATTATCAACCCTGACTGACTTCACTGACAAAGCCATTCCTGCCGAGCCTCATCCCTCCCTCAATACCTGTACCAGAACTGTCTCCATCTCCTCAACAAACTGCCCCGTTTACAAGAATTGTTATGTCTGATTGTGGAGAAGAATTCCTTGACCAACTCGTGGACTATGATGTAGTATCAGTACAACACTACACATTCTCCCTAGAAACTGCCGTAAATCCTCCAATAATAATGCTAAGATTACTCACGGTAGACATGACCTCCCCCATAATGTTTATATTGATGGAGAGTGCCTACCATGTACCCAAACATCCAATCTTTGGGGGAGTTAACACAATAAAGATGATGGATTTCATACTGAGTATTATTATTCTTTGTCAAGGGGCATGATCTTCGTTGCTGGGAGCGAAGGAGCAGCTTTGCGCTCTCAGGGGTAGCCAGGTTCTTTTATAGGCTGCAAACGCACGCACACCCCCACAAAATTCCTTAAAAATGCATAGCTACGTATATACGTATATTCACTCAGCGTTCACGCGGTCGCAAAGAGAGAGACGACGCACGCACGCACGCACGCACGCACGCACGCACGCACGCACGCACACACACACACACACACACACACACACACACACACACACACACACACACACACACACACACACACACACACACACACACACACACACACACACACACACACACACACACACACACACACACACACACACACACACACACACACACACACACACACACACACACACACACACACACACACACACACACACACAAACACACAAAACACACAAAACACACACAAAACACACACAAAAACACACACACACACACACACAACACAACACACACACACACACACACACACACACAAAACACACACACACACAAACACACACACACACACAAAACACACACACAAAACAAAAAAACGCAATCGCACAGACCTTGCACGCACACACACACGCGCGCGCGCGGGCACTTACATAAATGCAGTC